AACCGGGTCTTAAAGGGCCCTCCGCCCAAATCCTTTTAGCCTTTTTGCCTACTCGAGGTCCTCTATCGAATGATGTATGAACGAACGAAATCGGAGCCGGACACCTGGGGCGGTTCCCTCGTTAGCTAAAGCTAAGATAACGGACTATAAAGCTGATTATTCTGAAAAGTACTCTACAGTCGGGAAATTAGATCCGATTTCTTTACAAAAAATGATGATTTTTCGTTTAAAAAAGTTTTCATTTAAACAACTCTAAGAATTCCAATTGAAACAGCGAATGAATTTTATTATCTCTTGATAGGGAAAATCGTCCGCTTTCGAATCAGGTAATGGACTAGCCTCAAAAATAATGCCTATCTGAGATATGGTGCTTTTATAGAAAGTGGACCCAATTTTGACAGCATTTCCAAAAAAATCGAGTTTTTGATACGTAAATAGTAAAAAGAAAAGTCATCAGTTTGTCGGGTGATATTCGACTACTTGGTATAAACTTGATCGAAATTATTTCAAATTATACCATTTACTGATCTGGAAAGTTAGCAATGATGCTATTTACAGCTGAATTGAATGCAACGGTTCTGTATGTCGCTCTTATTGTCTTTTTTGGAGACTAAGGATGATCGGTAACCGGTAACTTACCCGTCAGTAACGGTAAGGCGAGTTTAACGAAAAACGAGATTACCGCGATAGCGGTAAAAGAATATTTACCGAACCTTCGATAAATATATTTTTACCAAATTTTTCTTCAATAAAGTTTCTTTTTTTCGAACTTATTTTAGATATTTTGTTTTTTCATTATTTATTCCTTTCTAATCCTGATCATACTATGAATAAAATATAAAATAGTCTAAGTACTTTATATCCTGATGTTTTCAACTCGTTCTTCGATTTTCTGAGTGAACTAAGATAGATGGAAATCATTATATCGGTCAAGCATTTCAACTGTTGACCCATGTGGGCATATTTTTGAAAGACTTATTTACAGCTCATTTTGAAGCTCGTAAAATTCTCTATCAAATATATATCTATTGTAGTGGCTAGATGAGAAACGTTGATCTTAGGAACCTCACCGTTGAATAAGTCACCCACTTGCCACACGGCTTGGCAGAAAGTAAATGCGATTTTCTCTGGAAGAAAGAAAAATAAAAACAAAAGCTCACGTCACTTTTATCGTGGTCATATGACAGTTCCCGCTTTCCTAACTTTCTACTTTCCGGTTTTCCCAGAAGGGCACCATGTCGTTGTTTTAAAATTTTTTAAACATTATATTCGTCATCAGAAGGCCGAGTTGTACTAGTCCTGTTACTCTCGAACAATTTGGACAAAGTCAATGTAAACTTTGGTACGCTTTCAAATGCTTACGCATTCGACGCGTTCGATTCGTCTTTCAAAGGCGAACAAAAGTACATGTACCGTTTTTGAGATTTTTTTCCTTCGCTGCGAAAAAAATCTATTAGTAGGTACTCTCCATAAACGGCCAGAACCTCTTCTGCTATATCTGCGAGTTTTGCTTCAAATCAAGTCTTATTAGGATCAGGGATGTTCAAAATGATGGCGAACTTAATGAGAACGCTATCGAGATCTTCAGAGGATCTCTAGAGGGTTTTGAGAGGTTTTCTGGCTAACCTCAACTCGTCATTTTCCGGCGGATTTGGCCGAACTTGTATATATTTCGATGAAGAAAAGTTATGCAACATCTTGTAGTCTCGAGATAGAGATTTTTGGAAAACCCGATTTTCTAGAAAACTTAATAATCTTAAAATTTCTTTCAGAACTTTTTCAAACATAGCATTGGATAGCCCCTTGAATTCTCCACAAAATGAGATGCTGGCTAAGCTTATACGATCTTGTGTCAAAAAGTGCTAGAGAAAATACGACACAGCTCGAAACAGCAATAAAGCGAATCAATTTATATTCCTGCTATGAAAAAACCTGTAATTCGGACGTCCACGAGCGCATAAACTTGGCTAGTCTCTCATTTTGTGAAGAACTGAAAGGACTATCCAATGATAGCCATTTGACCAAGTTCAAGGTTCTGTATTGGGTAATGTGGTCCGCAGACACTTTACAAGTTCGACCAAAGCCGCCGAAAAATGACGAGTTGAGGTTAGCCAGAAAACTTCTTCAAAACTCTTTGGAGATCCTCTGAAGATCTCGATAGCGTTCTCATCGAGTTCGCCATCATTTTGAGCATCCCTGACCCTAATAAGACTTGATCTGAAGCAAAACTCGCAGATATAGCAGAAGAGGTTCTGGCCGTTTATGGAGAGTACCTACTAATAGATACCGGTATATGTACTTTTGTTCGCCTTCGAAAGACGAGTCGAATGCGTAAGCATGCGTAAACATTTTTGCTCTAGGACCTCTGGAAAAATCGGTGTTAGGTTTGCAAAATCGGGTTCGGTTTTGAACTGCACGTATTTCGGGATTTTTTCGCAGAGATTTTTTTTAAGGTCTAAAAATGCTCAAATACCAGTGTCCGATGCAACTTTTCAGGCTGAATCCAAAACACTTTGGCTCGCCTCGCGAAACCAAAACGCAAAAAAAAACGGCAGAGGTTCGAAAACTACCGTTTTGGGCTTTTTGACCGCTGCCTTTTGACTGTCATGTTGACTTTTTCGACCCGAAAAGAGTTTTCAAAAAATCGCAGAATTCATATTCGTACTCAGCTTGAATTCCTCCATCGAATGATGTATACAAAAATCCAAAATAAAGTTCATGGAAAGTCTGCTTTCTGTGCACCTTACAAAAAGAAGGAAATTCGAAGTTATATCGTTTTAACGTCGTTAGAAAATGAGTTGTCGAAGAACGTGTTATTCTAAAGTTTTGAACGGCAATAAACACATTTAGACGACCCTTAATAATAGTTCGCTAACGTGTTCTTTGTGCCACTTCTAACAAAATTTTCTTGAAACTGAAGTTTTGCGTTATTTTGAACTGATAAGTACTCATTTTACTGCTCTCCATTAGTTTTTTGTCAGCTAATGTAATGTCAAGAGGATATGGCCGAATGGGAAAAGTGAAAGAATGCTGGCACAAAAGTTGATGGTTCAAACCTCTGTATCTTCCTCCGTTTTTATTTCTGAATCATTTCAAAACCCGTTAATTAACGTTTTCATTGTCGGTCACATTCATCAAAAAACGCGTTGAGAAATTCTGAAAACCGCCTTTTCAAACGAATAGATAAAAGAAAAACGCGTTTAAACGACAAAAAAAAGCGTTAGTTTTGAAATCTTTAACCCGTTTTTTGGTCGTGTAAAACGAAAAAAAACATGTTTTGTTGTTAATGTTTTACCCCTGTGCATTCGCCGTCTTGTTCACACTATAATGAAATATTTTTCCGCTTGTATTCTGACAGTGTAAAACTTATTATACCAACTGATTTCTAGCATTAAATTGATCTATATTATATTTTTTAAAATCACTAATTTTTTTACTTCAAACCGATTGAAATGAACTTTTCTTTCAATAAATTGATTCTAACAAAAGTAATATGTATTAATTTAATCTTGGATTTGATTGGAAAAAATACCTTGAAATTTGAATTATGAAAAATGTAAGGTTTCTAACGAAATTATAAATTTTATTACCACTTGACGACTGAAGCATTTCTGTTTGATAGTATGAGCTTCGCTTACATTCAAAGCACAATATTTTGTTATTTTTCATTTTGTTTATAAGTGAAAACTTTTTTTATGGATACTCAACAGTGATGTTTAATTTTTATAAATTAAAAAAGAGTTTTCAATGTGAAAAAAGAGCAAGTAGCATTCATTTTCCCTTTAGAAAAATGGCCAGTGTATTAGAATACAAGCCAACGGTGATAAAAGTTTCGAAATTAAAGTTAGAAGAAGATATTGCGAGAAAGTTAACACAAGAATCATTTTCAAGCAATAACTTAATTTTGAATAGACCAGCGGTGTCACGGATAAGCACACAAGTATGTATGAATTGGTGTTAATGAAAAAAACTATCATAAATAAGTTTAGAAAACTGAAGTAGACAAGTTCAACAGCCACAGTGATATCAGTTTTTCCATTTTGCCGAAAACAGATAACAATACAAAACAGTTGTTACCAAGTGGGACTTCAGGTGTCTCTCATTCGTCTAGAACTTATAATCGGAGACATAGTACTGATAAAATATCAAAGAACTCATTCAATCCAAGTAAGTTTTCGATGAACTCCTCAAATATGACAAAAAACTTTAGTTCCGTTGAATATAGGTGACAGAAACAAGAGTAGCACCATCAATCTTCATGTAATCGATGTGAGCAAACGACAAGGGCAAACAAACGAGAAGCAGCAGGCGCATGCTTTGACATCAGACAAGGAAAGATTGAGGAGGGAACCCTTCTTTCAGTTGCATTCAGAGGTATAGAATGAGAAAAAGGGCGACGAAATGTAGATTTTACTCGTCTCTTAGAGTCTAAACCTCTCAAGTGCATCCAGTAAACAACAACTAATGAAAGATGATGACGATTTTAACCGAAAAAGACGAAGACGACGAAGGAGAGGGTATTTTCTGAATCAAAACGGGAAAACATAATTTATTCATGAATTTTAGATTTTGTTGCTCACCCCTGTGTTATCTATTCTGCTGTCTTCTGTCAAGTTTTATACTTGGAACAGCATTAGCAGTCGCAATTTTAGCTGTGAGACAATCAAATACAGCGACGGCAAGTAAAAGACGCTCTCTTTTTGGTTAATCGAAAGTTTATCACTTTTCTTTATTCGGCAGTTTCAACTTCGACAGCATCTGTTGCCACACAAGTGCCCACAAGCAGTACAATAATTAGTTCTCTGACCACAACGGTAGTAACATTAACAACTTCAGTGACCACAACGGTAGCAACAACAAGTTCCCAGACCACAACAATAGCAACATTAACAACTTTACCAACTACAACGGTAACAACCCTAGCTGCGACCACGACAAGTGTATCATCGTCGATGACAACAAGCATAATAAGTACAACAAGTTTAACGGCCATCACATCGACCACTGTACGTATTATTGACCAGAATATTTGCTTAAGAATTATTTCATATTTCTAATTTAAGGTTACAACTATACCTACTACGAGTTCAAATATTGTTGCTGGACCTGATGCCTCCTGTACTCGTTGGTACTGTAAAGATGTTTTAACATTTAAAAATACTGGAACATTAATTGCTCTCACAGTAGTAATTACTGTTCAAAAAACAGTGGGAGCATATTCTCCAAATATATGGACAAATTTAGCAGGTGGAATTTATACAAGTTCTATAGTTGATAACGGCAGTCAACTAATATATACCTATACACTGAACACGGGTTCAACACTAGCCTCAGGTAGCTATGGGTTTGGTGGAAATTATAGTCTTACGGGAACAGTACAAGATACTACAGCCGACACATGGACAATTTCTTACACAGATAATTCGAACACAATAACTACAGAAGCCGGTCATTTTTAAGAAGAACGGTAGAACGCTGAACTGATTTGTTAATAAAAATTACTGGAGTTAAAGTTCGAAATCGAGTGCCGAAGTTTCATCGTGTGGAATCTTTGAAGCACAAAAGTAGTTTCTTCTAAGTTTCTAAAACCTTCAAAAGCTCGAAACAATAAGCTGTTGTTTCGCGCTTTACAGTTTTCAAAAATCAGTAGTTGCTGAGAACCTTTTATCGTTTTTTTAAACATACTGGAGCAAAGCCTTAAAAGAAAACTAAGCAAATTTTGATTAACAACTCTACACCGCTTGATTCTATAAAAGATAAGACTTTTCAATTTTTTGAGGGATTATTTTTCAAAGGACGGGGTGCAATAAAAACGAGGATCGGCCCCATTTCAGATCTTCTCGAAAGGTATCTAGAATGAAAGAGCATACAATTTATGGGGTTCTATACCCTTGGTTCGACTTCGGACCTCATATGTGTCAGAAAATCGATCAGTTTTCAACAATAGCTCCGCGAGCCCATTCCGAGGCGATTTTCGTAATTTTCTCAGAACACAACAAGTTTGAAGGGAAGTATTATATACCATTCGACGCAGCTTTGGACGGCGCACAAAACTGTCTATTCTCGATTGTTATGTACACCACGAACACCCATGTTTTTTCCATATTACTGTTAAAAATGACCTTTTCAGCATAGCCACCGATAGTATTTCAACTTTCGCACCATGAAAGAACCTAGGTTGCGGTCTACATTGTATATCGAAAGAAAGCTCTTTCAAAACTCTACAAAATGCTTGGTCATTCATTTCTAATCAATACTGCGAACAC